TCAGCGTCGTTTGCCTGAGAAGGGTTGGTCGTCGCAGCAGCTGCAGCAGCTGCTGCTGCAGCTATCAGCAGCAGACGCAAACAACCAAATAAAAACAGCATCAGTAGGGGAGAGAGAAGGAAGGGTTTACAGCCCCCTCGTAGCACAACGACACTTCTTCTTTGCTCATGGTATTGGAAGGTAATTTATACAAAAGGGTTTAGGGTTTATGAGGGTTTACGAGGGTTTATGAGGGGTTATGAGGGTTTTTGAGGGTTTGTTGGGGTGTATTAGGTTTTATGAGGGTTTGTTGGGGTGCATTAGGGTTTATGAGGGTTTGTTGGGTTGTATTAGGGTTTATGAGGGTTTATGAGGGTTTATGAGGGTTTATGAGGGTTTATTAGGGTTTATTAGGGTTTATGAGGGTTTATGAGGGTGGAGATTTTAATCTTTCTGGTTTAGGGTTTAGGGTTCAGTGTGTAAAAGTCTGTTGATGCATATGGAAGGTCTAGGGTTTAGGGTTTAGGGTTTAGGGTTTAGGGTTTAGGGTTTAGGGTTTAGGGTTTGTTGCAGGTCTGGGGATATTTTCGCGTTACAGCCGAAGGCCGTTGGCTCTTCTCTTTTATATAAACTTTCGAGCTACTTAGCTCTAGATGCAATTCATATCTGCGGCATCAAGGCGAGGGTTTAGGGTTTAGGGTTTAGGGTTTAGGGTTTAGGGTTTAGGGTTTAGGGTTTATGTGTATGAGTTACACCCCCTCATTAATTTTTTTTTTTTTCCTGGCTGTATATGTATATCTAAATATATTTTTTTCTTTCTCTCTCTGTTTTTTCTTTATTTATTTTTTAATAAATTAGGGTTTAGGGTTTAGGGTTTAGGGTTTAGGGTTTAGGGTTTGTGGTTTCAGGCAGCGAAGGGTTGTTTGCCTCTTCCCCTGGCTACAGGCATGAGTATAAGTTTATGTTTAGTTTCACTAAAAAAAAAAAAAAAACAAAAAAGTAAATTTGTTATTCTCTCCAGAGTTGATCAAAAAGCTGTTATAAAAAGTATTCTACATGCAGGTACAATACG